CAGCTCTGCAGTCCTCTATCCAAAAAAGTAAAGGTGGCAGGCGGTTACCTCTTGAGGTGCGCCATGAGGTACCGCAACGACTCGCAGTGAGCCGGCGGCAGGAGCTTCAGGGCGTCATGGAGGGATTCCAGTCGCTTTTCTGCGTCAGTGACCTCTGCAACGAGCGAACGGAAGAACACCCATAAAGACATCGAATGTTTCGTCATGTAAAAAAAAACTTCAGGGGGGCGGGCCTACTTGCGGGATCGATGTGGAGGGATTCCAGGCGCTTTTCTGGGTCAGTGACCTCTGCAACGAGCGAACGTAAGAACACCCATAAAGACATCGAATGTGTCGTCATGTAAAAAAAAAACTTCAGGGGGGGGGGCCTACTTGCGGACTCGATGAAGCGCGGGTAGGCATCGTATGTGATGAGGGGAATGGGCAGCTCTCTGAAGTAGAGCTTGAGCGCGCCCGTGATGATGTTGATGTCCTCATATACGCCCGACGAGATGTCCGCCTTCTCGCCGTCTGCGGACGCGGTGCGGTGACAGGGAAGGAAGCGGCTCGGCGCATTTCGAGTCGACTCGCGATTCTCACCTCTATCAAAGGCCAGCTTGACATCTTCAACCAGCTCACTGAAGCCGGATATTCGATACAAACCTTCCGACTGGAGACCTGGAGGGCAGTGGAAAGCCACGGTTGCAAAGAAACGTTGGCGACGGGTTAGCGGGCTGACACCTTTGCCAGCTCTGGACGGCACCCACCTCTGGCTTCAATTTCCTGGATGCACATGTCGACCACCATGGGCCTTTTGGTGTTGTGCGCTTTGACCAGGGTGGTCAGGTCACAGCTGTACACCTTCTTGACATGACGTAGGTCCGGCTGGCAGTCATTGGGCACAACCTTTGAGCACTGCTTGTGGACGTTCAACCCGCAGTCTGAGACATACAAGGCCTTTATTTAGTGGACATGTGTGCGAGCGTAGCAGAGGTGGGGGGGACTTGAAGACCTGACTCGAGTCAGACTTAAAGGTCAGGCGTGAAGTAAACTTGGCCAGCCATCATCTGAGCGATACTGACGGTTCAAACTAGTTCAAGCAGACTTTTGTTTTGACCCACCCAGGTTCATAGTTCGACCCGCAGCGACAAAAACGCTTTTGTTCGGCAATCTCCGGCCAGTGACGTCATTTACGGAACGCCGAGTCGCCGGTCGGCCACTGTGCTGCGTTGTCGACTGTTCAATTTCACGCCGGCATCGACGAGCATTTTTGTTTCAAGCACTTCGAAGACCTCCGTTTTCTCAACCGGATTTGCAAAATTGTACGTGAATGATAGTACATCGGGTGCGCCTCCCCTACAGGAGGCTGACATGTTTCGCCGCCATCTTGATGCTACTCAAAAGCAGACAAATTTAGCCAACGTAGTTCCTCAACATGAGATGACGACGGCTTGTGTAACAAATGCCAGGCGCTGACACCGTCACTTGCGGGACTACCGCGAGTGGTTTGGGATGACATTTTGTCCTGCAGCTCTGCTGAAGAAAGTGCCGATAGGCTTGCGAAGTCCCTCTCAGGCACATGTCGTGCATCGAGCTTAGGTGGTGGCATTCTACGAGTTCACCACTCGATGGCAATTCTACACGCTGTACCTTTAAGAGCGACGGTCAATTTCCTTTCGGCTCACTTGAGAGTTACCTGCGCACTTGACTCCTTGAGCGATGAGCCCCCACATGAAGTTGGCACAGTACTCGCACCAGTGAGGGCCACGAAACGTATGAACCTGATGACGAAGGGGAAACGCGAATCAACACATGGCACATGCGCACGCTGGCATGCGAGTCTCACCTTAAAGTTGTGAACCTTCTCATATTTGGGGACCATATCGCTTTCCCGCAGCGTGGCTCGCCGCACCAGCGACGTGAGCTGTGAAAGGGCAAAAGATTTGATTGGCTGCCAGAAGGCGGAAGCGGGAGAGGTTGGTTTGGACAGAACCGGGCCTCTGTCGCCCTGCGTCCTCGTCTTGACGATGGGGTCCGAGGCACCGCCAGCGACTGTCCGATGAAAAACTGAGCCACTGCCGAGAGCAGCGGCAAACCGTGAACCCTTTTCGGGTGGACATTTCTCATCTCGCTGGCCCGATTGCTTCTTACCTCTGCTCACAACATGAGACTTGCCGTTTGGCATGATGAGATCTGGGGTTTAAAATCGCACGAAAGCCAAAAAGAGCCGTTTTGGTCAACCGTACAACAAACGGAAAGAAGTTCCAAGCCAAATCCAAAGAAAAGCCGGATCGGAAAAACAACTAGCGAGCCCGCTAGAGGTCAGCGAGCCAAATGTGTCTGCCCGCTAACGGCGCTGCTCAAGCAAAGTCAGCCAAAGACTCACAAAAGCTGCTTGAGGATCCGCAAATAAAGCCCAAAACATCTTCTACATCCTTGAGACTAGACCGGCGTCACGTCTCACTCTGCGCGCTCCAAGCCACATGACTGAGCGTGCGCCGACTTGCCGCCGCTACGCTGAGCAAAGTGAGAGAGGGAGAGTCGGGTCACATTCAGAGGAGAAAGAACCCAGAAGAGCGCAGTGATTCTTAACAGTCACGAAATGCTCGAGGCAAAAATGCTCCCTGGAGAGAAAGCCGATGCACCGGATCGCTTGGCTTTTTGCATGCTGCGCCACCATTCCGCTTGATCCGCGACACTCCGCCGTTGGAAAAGCGCAGGCGGAGCAAGAGAATGGGCATGTTGTAAGGTGCCCCGGGAAAGTGAGCCCGTCGCCCGACTCGAGTGATGCTCATCGTCCTCACCCTCTCCTCGCCGCCGTGGTCGTCCTTGACGGGCGCCGGGCCATCGGCGGCGTCCGCGCCGTGCGGCAAGTGTTTCTTCAGTGTGGGTTCCTGGTTCAGCGTCGTGTAGCCCACGTGCTCATAGATGGGGTTGATGGTCATCTTGGCGATGTACTCTGCTGCCTAAAAAGAAAGGCGCGGCTTGAAAACACTTGAAAAGCTTTGGGCTGACCGAAGGACCCGGTTCGGGAACGGTGCCCCGCTGAGTGTTCACCTTGGTCTCAATGTAGAGTGTGATGAGGCCGTCGGTGACCAGGTCATGGATGGACTCGAACCTTTTCTCTCCGACAAAGTGCTTCCCATCATGGTAAAGACGGAAGTTTCTGGTCTGGCTCCCGAACCTGAATGGGGTGACGATAGGAAAAACGTCCTGGACAAAATATGCCCTGTCCCGATTGGCTTTCAAAAAAAAAAAAAAAAAAAAACCTCCAATCTGTGACAAATTAATGCCAAAGTGGGACAACACTTTTCTAGGCCTTTGCGGATCCACACTTTCAGATCATTAACCCAAAATGAAAGCTTTCATTCACAGCGTGGTATTTATGGAAGTTCATTATAACCTACGGGGGAAACACGGAAGCGGATGTGTGCAGGTGGAACACGGCTAGGAATAGATTCTTCCGACCCAAAAACAAGTGCTGCTCTGCTTTGGCTGAAGTTTATTCAGACCTGTGATGATGATGATGATGATGATGATGATGATTTTCACCGATGACGCTAACAATGACTTACGCCATTTACGTAAGCGCGCCTACCTCAGCGCCAGCGTATACGTGCCCGGCTGCCTCTGACTCTCTCGAATGAGGTAGCTGCCTTCGGCCTGACTGAGAAGCTGGTCGGCTTCCTCCCTGGAAATCATCCCGTGGTACCTGAACGCAACACAACACGAGGGTGCTGTTCGTATGAAACAATTCTCACAAGAAACGCAGACGAAATGAGCTACTTACTCTCTCCCGTAGTATTTGGGTCGATTGTCCACCTGCAGGAGAAGTACACGTTGAGCAGAACAATTCCCAACCACTGGCGAGGCTCATGCGATTCGTGTGATGATAACATTTTATTCGAGAGCAGCATGTGAGTTGGCGTACGCGCGGGTGCAGAGAAGTGCGGATGAGTCAAACGAAGAGCACACCGCGGCGTTCTGTCGTTCGTTCTCAACAAATATGACGTCAAACCAATACATCGGCACACTGGCAAATATTGGCGAGGTGTTACGTTGGGGCAATGTTTCCTCTAATTTTTATTCATGCAAACTCCCTGAGCATCCCTTGTACGCCGTGAGCAACGTCAGACATGCGCACGGCGGCCAAAGCCGCCTCACACCTGTCCCAAACCTGAGATTCCCAAAAGTTGCGTGACGTCGACGCGCAGCAACCAAATTCAAACCACCTACATACCACAAAAGAACAAATCACCGAATGGAAATTTGTCACCCGAATAAAGTCAGCCGCGGTTTGCGACCCTCCTTTCAGCTCACAGGTGATTCATAAGTACAATGAGTAAAGTCTGCATGAAATCTTGAACCGCGTGGTCCCGCGTCGCCCGCTCATCAATCGTGGAAAACAGGTCAGTGGATAAAACGGAAAATTTCTCTGGTCACCTGACCTCTGAAGCGCACGAAAGAGCCCCGTTCCAGGGACTTCCGGAACGCAGCAGTCCGCGTGTCGTCTGGTGAGCGCGAGCGCGAGCGTGCCAACGTTTGGCACCATCTACAGGAGACTGACTGAGCACGCGCCCCACTACTGAAACGGGAAGGGAAGTGGGAATGGTGCGATGTCCCGCTTGTAGCTTGCACTTGCGCGGAAAGGAAGGAACGCGTATCGAAATGTCAAGTGTGGGCGCGGTGTGCGCTTAGCGTGAGCGCCGAGAGGGTCAGAGGAGTGCGCCATTGCGCACGCATGCGTGCGCAGCTTGGAGGGAACACCGCAGAAGAGCTACAAATTGTACAAGCTATTCGACCAGTCGATTTATGGACTATTCGACTCAACACTGACATAGGCTGGATGCTAATTGCATGACAGATGAGTGCGTTGAGTGAAATTAGTCCTCCACCATCATTGCTTTAAATTGGCTTCGAAAGATATACACAAAGCACACAACTGCACTGAAAAACATTTTAAATAATGACATCAGCCAATTTCCTCCCATTTGCGTCGAATTTTAAACAATCTAAAGTGGTGCAGCTCCGATTAAGGACCAGCATTTAAGAATCGCAACCCAACCCAACATCTTAGTTGTCAACAGACAGTCATTGAAACCTCACCTCACAAGTGCAGGTCAACCGACGGGGGTGTGGCGCCTCCTGCTGGAGCTGATACACTGAGGCAGAAAACACAAGCGAGACAAGTTTCAAGGATGTAGAAGCTATTCATTTTTCAAATGTTGGAAATGGAAGAATGGATAAAATCGAACAAATGCTCAATCGGAGGAAATGATATCAACACACATAATTGCACCCCCACCCAAAAAAATGGATAAATAAAAGGACTGTACTCACAGTAGGATTTCCATACCGGAGGCCTGTACTCATCATGATCTGAAGAGACAAAAAGAAAAGGGTTTCTCTTTTTTGACTTGAAATCTATCATTTGTAAAAAATGATGACATTTGAGGAGAGTGAGGACAATGTCTACAAATCAACAACAAAGCAGTAACAAATACAAACATAGACATATTGTCTCTCCACTTCACCTTTTAGGCGCCAGAGTTTGGTCAATAAAATACAGTGTTCTATTTTGAGATCACCATTTCAAAAGGTTGTAGCTTGAAAATGGTTCGAGATCAAGGCATAGTGTAAATGTTGCCTGGTGCCATTTTGCTATTTTGGTACTTAAAGCGTTCAAATCGATTGCAAAAAAATGCACCATCTTCCTTTCACTGGAGACCCGATTCCAAGTTGAGGATATCTCATTCCTTGTTTTTTTTTTTCCTTTCTTTCTTTCAACTGCCATGAAACATCCAAACAGAGCTACTTGAGAGCCTCCGCCCCCCCCAAAAAAAATCACGTATGTGTCACTTAAACTGTGCTGTATATCCAGCTTTCAAAATTGCATCTCTTTTAATTGAAAAGGCCCTTCTCCTGAAGTCAGTTTCAAAATATAATACAATTAGGAAGAAGCAAAATTTAAACGTCGCCTCATTTCACTCCTCATACCCCCTCGCATCTCGAACCAAAGTCACACCTCTCGCTGACTTAAACGCGCACGAGATGTGAGCCATCGCAGCAAAATTGCTCGCATGACTTCACATGTTGGAGACTGGCCAAAATAAATAAATCAATGTGACTGCGGTGTAGGACACCACGTTACATATGTCTACCTTTGGCTCACATTGAGAACAGTCAAAATTTCTTAGTCTTGGTTTTGTGGCCACCCTGAAGGTAAATAAGCGAGCCAAGAAAACAAGTCTGCGCGAGGCTGCGACATGTGCCCATGTGCGCACTGCAAATGATCCAATCTCTTCAGTCGAGCCTTCTGTCTCCATGTTCTCTGATATTATGATTATACTCTTTATGTGAAGGCTCGGTGTGTTTTAAAACAATCATTAAAATAAAATCAGAGGCTTAAAAAATGGTGTCAAAGCTGGATCATTTTAATAATATTCTACTGTGTGTCACACAGACAGTTTTAACAGAACGTAGTGCATTTGACATGGCGCAAACTCCCCATTAAAACATCAAACTATCAATTAACAAGGTTTTAGCCATTTTTCTCACTGAGGTAAATCCACTCATATTTATAAGCGTTCTCTTGATTCAAAGCCTGCAGACAATCAAATTCCACTACCAGCTACAATTGTCGTGTAACAGCAATTGCAATCAGTTAATTAAGAATCTGTTTTGGTAATTGCACCATATCAGATCGACTTGACGAGGTTATATACTAATGTCCGTTGTGACATTTGCTTTCAAATCACTACTTGGAGGTTTCAGGTTTTCCTACGAGTTCAATATACATGACAGGTAGACAACAGATAATGTGTGCATCGGTCAGGCGTGTCAAGAACACAAGCGACGAGATGCAATTAAAGCACTCGATCAGGCTATCATGGTAAAAAGCTGATACTGCTTACCAAACACATTTAGGGCCATCCTGATTCTGTAATTAGATGACGATGATGGCGAACAATAGAAAAATCACATCCAAATTCCGGCCCTCAAGATCCTGCAAGAAAAAATTAAAAATAAGCATGAGTAAAGACCAGAGGTATCGGAAATGCAAGACGCACCGGCCGGCCAAACAACAAATGAGCCAGCAGCAGCTCAGGTTGAGCAATGAGCTAACATTAGCAGATTTATAACTTCAATTGACATGCTAAATCGCACCTCGCTGCAATTAAAAAAAAAAAAAAATCCATCGACGTTGTTGTTGTGTTAAATCAGGAGAATGTGACTGCTAATTAAATGTGAAACAGTACACCGGGTGCCTCAATGTAGCGGCTCGATAATTAAACGAAGTACAGTACTCACACACTAGCATCAATTCAACAATGTGGTCGCCATCTTGCTAGGTCACGTGAACCGTCTCGCCCTCTCCCGCTGTCTGTGGTAACTATGGCGACGGACCGTGACCACGAGTAGTAAAAAGAAAGGCGAAATATCCCAGGATGCATTGCTCTATTTCACGACGAGTGGCGCGAAGATTCCATGTCACATCAGGGATGGACACCCAATTCTTTGTTTGTGTTAGTTTTGTTCGACAGTATATGGTTTATGCATGTTATTCATTTGTTTAACATTTCTTAAAGAATATCCTCAGCTGGGGTTGATTGTGGTCTTCGGAATTAACAGCGAGCCCGAGTCGTGTTGGAAATTATCTTTCGTGGATGGATTTCTATGGATGGATGGATAAAAAAACTGATTGAAACAATACAAATCTCCATATAGCGATTATGGGGTTGGAAAAAGTAAACGATTCAGAATTCAGCCTTCGTTTTATTGTTTAGTACCACAAATACGTGGTGGAAATCGTTTTTGTCGCTTGTCAGCGTACATTGTACATTCCTCTTCTGTCAGAAGATGGCGTGACAGAGCCGCCGCACGACCGTGGCCAGGCTCCCACCGGGCGGCTTCGGGAGGCGGCGCGCTGCTCCTTATTGTTCCTGAAGAAAAGCTCGGATAGCGTCGCACACGTTTTCCAGCATTTGTCCAAATGGCTGCCGCGCAGAACCAGCGTCCCACCTGAGAGCGGAAAGCCTTAGTTCGGGAAACGGGACCGACCGACCGGCCGGCCCCCGCTCGGTGACGGATATACCGACAAACCCGACGGAGCAGCCGGGAAAGAGGAACGAGGTGAGGAAACTATGCTATCCCGATTACGCAGCCAGGTTTACACGTAGGCACAAGTCGGGTGCTCGTGTTGGACGCGTTTGAGAATACGTGTGTGGCTAAACGAATGATTAACCGCGCGTGATTATTTGCGACATTTTTTGACGACCCAGCAATTTGGGGGTAGAATTAGCGTCAAGTCTGCTCAGTAAACGAACCCGCACAGCTCGGGGAGGACCAGACCAGCACATCTTATTTCGCTGTCCTACAGCGAGTTTGCTTTCTGGGAGCTCTCGTGAAAGCGCTTCATCATTTTACATTTTTTTCCTCACAACTTTGTTTTTTAAAAAAGCAATGGCACACGCAGCCTGCTGATTTAGTTTCCATCTTTGCATTCTCAAGAAGCTTGTCGTTGTCAAAACGTCAGCATCAATACTGATTAATACGCAGCGATCCTTAGCCTAGTGGCATCTTTACTCGGGCCTAAAGGATTACTCTGCTAACCTACATCTTGGCCTTTCGCTCTGCCAACAAGTATTTTGACAGTGTACAGCAGGAGGGGTGTCCAAACTTTTTCCTCCGAGGGCCCCAATGCGGGGAAAATGGAAGGATGCAAGGGCTACTTTGGCTCTCTTTGACTTCATTCCAGCGAGCAATTATTATCTTGTTTTTAAAGATATTACAGCCATTTTTAAAAAAACTGCTACATTGCAGGTTTGTCTTAAAAGTGATGAGGCAAATTGTTTCAGATTTTCTTCTACTAAAACTACATAAATTTCCCTTAGTAATAGTCTGTTTAGCTTATTGTTAACATACACTTCATGGCATTATTGTTGCGGTGTTTATAACCTTTCAACTCAAATGTATTTATAGAGCACTTTCAAACAGCCATCGCTGCACACAAAGTGCTGTAGTCCATGGCGCAACTAACATATACATCGGTAAAGCAAAGCAGCAAATCAGTATCAAAGATGGTAGAAAGCACCAAACAGTATAACTAAGATCATAATTTAGATCATGCTGGTCAGTCGGTTCCATTTCCCGAACTAATATTTTCACTCATCGGTAAGTGGCGAAATGACCGCCCCTTGAAATGGATAAAAACGGGTGCATTTCACCCCTTCATTCATATTCCACAAACACGATATTCATCAGAATACAGTGCTTAGACTGGTTAGGCCGCAACAAACGTATTGTGGTAAAGAAAAGACTCAGGAGCTTTCAGGCTTATAACCTTTCAGGCAATGGATATTTGAACACAAGCAATGGTGGAATCTATGTAGACAGACAATTAGGGATGGATTGGAAACTGGGCCCAATCACATTATTTTCAGCTGATCGGTATCCATGTTGTTGCTGGGTTTAAAATTAAAGTTATTTCATTTCATATTTTTTATTTTTAAAAGCTACAAAGGAACACAATACTCCAGAAGTACACAGCTACTTGCCTCCGCCACCCCCAACTGGAAAGAGCAGATGTAATCTCAGCCAGCGGAGGAACATTCTGGTTGTTGCCACAGAAAGCCAACATGAATATTGCATCATGCAACAATGATGAGGTCTGCTGTATGGAAATATTTTAATGTGGAAAGCGGAGATAGCGCAACGCCGACGGCATCAGCTTGCGAATGTCACATGACCAAACTCGGAAAACAGATGAGCTGCGATTGGTCTCTACCTGAGCCGTTAGGCGCTGGGATGTCATTTTCACTCATCGGTAAGTGGTTAAATGACCGCCCCTTGACATGGATAAAAACGTGTGCATATTACCGCTTCGTTCATATTCCACAAACGCAGTATTCATCATAGACAGCCCAAATGTTATTCTTATTCCGCTCTAAATATTTTTTTTCTTCTACTGTGAGCAGCGCTCCCTTTTTGTTTTGTGAAGAGTCCCGCAACGATGTATTGCCAGCTTGAAATTTTGGAGCATACCCACGAACGCACACCCAGTCCCAAATGTTTTTTTTTTTTTTCTTTGAAAGTAGGGTTGCGGGCTGTGTCAAATGTTAGCACAGTTGGGTCGCACATGCTGCGGGCCGCTGAAGCACAGACCACAGGGCTGCTGATGACACCCCATTCTGGACAGACTTATTCGTCATACAGTTTTGAAAACAAAACGAAACAAAAAAAAAAAAACGCGTCCCTTTTGGGCTGCAAATCTGCAAGACTCCATCAGCTAAGAGCAAATCTTTAGCCCCCTTTCCTGATCTCATGAGGGGCTTATGTTGTTGTTTGTTGCCCCGCCCCCGTCCCTCCTCCAGGTTGAGGTCAGAGGGGGCATCGCCTCTCATTTCACACCTCTTGGGCCTTCCGGTCTTGCACCTTCACCCCTTGGCCCCCGTCCGTCTATGTGCTCGTTGCAGGAAGTCAAAAGCCTCCTTTTGAGGCAAGTAAATGACCTTGATACGTGCATGAATGCGCGCGATGTTCCATTCGTATTTATAGAGCACTTTCAAACAGCCATCGCTGCACACAAAGTGCTGTAGTCCATGGCGCAACTAACATATACATCGGTAAAGCAAAGCAGCAAATCAGTATCAAAGATGGTAGAAAGCACCAAACAGTATAACTAAGATCATAATTTAGATCATGCTGGTCAGTCGGTTCCATTTCCCGAACTAATATTTTCACTCATCGGTAAGTGGCGAAATGACCGCCCCTTGAAATGGATAAAAACGGGTGCATTTCACCCCTTCATTCATATTCCACAAACACGATATTCATCAGAATACAGTGCTTAGACTGGTTAGGCCGCAACAAACGTATTGTGGTAAAGAAAAGACTCAGGAGCTTTCAGGCTTATAACCTTTCAGGCAATGGATATTTGAACACAAGCAATGGTGGAATCTATGTAGACAGACAATTAGGGATGGATTGGAAACTGGGCCCAATCACATTATTTTCAGCTGATCGGTATCCATGTTGTTGCTGGGTTTAAAATTAAAGTTATTTCATTTCATATTTTTTATTTTTAAAAGCTACAAAGGAACACAATACTCCAGAAGTACACAGATAATTGCCCCCCCCCCCCACCCCCAACAATAAATAAATAAAAGGGGCTTTATACGATGCAATATAGCAACACAACTGGAAAGAGCAGATGTAATCTCAGCCAGCGGAGGAACATTCTGGTTGTTGCCACAGAAAGCCAACATGAATATTGCATCATGCAACAATGATGATGTCTGCTGTATTTTTTATTTTTAAAAGCTACAAAGGAACACAATGCTCCAGAAGTACACAGATAATTGCCCCCCCCCCCCCCAACAATAAATAAATTAAAAGGGGCTTTATATGATGCAATATAGCAACACAACTGGAAAGAGCAGATGTAATCTCAGCCAGCGGAGGAACATTCTGGTTGTTGCCACAGAAAGCCAACATGAATATTGCATCATGCAACAATGATGATGTCTGCTGTATGGAAATATTTTAATGTGGAAAGCGGAGATAGCGCAACGCCGACGGCATCAGCTTGCGAATGTCACATGACCAAACTCGGAAAACAGATGAGCTGCGATTGGTCTCTACCTGAGCCGTTAGGCGCTGGGATGTCATTTTCACTCATCGGTAAGTGGCTAAATGACCGCCCCTTGAAATGGATAAAAACGTGTGCATATTACCGCTTCATTCATATTCCACAAACGCAATATTCATCATAGACAGCCCAAATGTTATTCTTATTCCGCTCTAAATATTTTTTTTTCTTCTACTGTGAGCAGCGCTCCCTTTTGATCATGTTTTGTGAAGAGTCCCGCAACGATGTATTGCCATCTTGAAATTTTGGAGCATACCCCCCTCACGCACACCCAGACTTATTCATCATACAGTTTTGAAAACAAAAAAAAACGGCGTCCTTTTTGGGCTGCAAATCTGCAAGACTCCATCAGCTAAGAGCAAATCTTTAGCCCCCTTTCCTGATCTCATGAGGGGCTTATGTTGTTGTTTGTTGCCCCGCCCCCGTCCCTCCTCCAGGTTGAGGTCAGAGGGGGCATCGCCTCTCATTTCACACCTCTTGGGCCTTCCGGTCTTGCACCTTCACCCCTTGGCCCCCGTCCGTCTATGTGCTCGTTGCAGGAAGTCAAAAGCCTCCTTTTGAGGCAAGTAAATGACCTCGATACGTGCATGAATGCGCGCGATGTTCCATTCTTGTCAAGTTGTCGGTCGTGGATATATTTGTACCTCTTTGTGGATGGGTGTCATTTGCGCTTTTCATGGCGTCCTTCAACTTGCGTCTCGAAGAACGCGTGTCATTTTGATTGCCACGATGCGGAGGGGCAGTAGCGTCACTTTCATCTTGTGGAACGTAACGTTCCCCTCCGCCTTTTCTTTTTGCGGCTCCCGAGCCGGCCCTCCCACACAATAGCCTGGGAACCCCAGCGCTTGGCTCGGACTCCCGCGACCCCCTGGGAAATGTTGGACTCATCACCGGTTCAAAGGCTGCGTGAGCATCCCTCCTCGTGAAAAAGCGTCGCTTTCAGAAGCTCCCACAGTGGCTTCCTTTGTGCCCATGTGACGAGTTTGCTCAGTATTCGCCTCTCGCCGCCTCCCCGTTTCCGCTCTTGACTCAACCCGCTGATCCGAGAAACGGGTCAAAGGAACAACCAACGTGTGTCATCCTCAATAGTGGCGAAGTGGATCCTGACTGAAACCGGATCACAATCTTTTGAACACGCAGCTTGCAGAACCTTTTGGTGTTGCAGACGCACCGCTTAGCTCGTCGAGGTTTGTCGGAGTCAAATGTCATCTGGTCAAGTGGGGGCTACAAGCCTCTTGTGATTCGAAGCTTTCTTTTATTTTGAAAGCTCACGGGGGGGAGAACAAGGACCAACACTTGTGCTTATGTTTCGTAGAGTCAAACTAAATGATTCCTTTTTCCATTATTTATTCATTTATTTTTTTAAACTGCCGTTGGGTCATGCACTTTTTTCTAATTGAAGAATCAAACCGAGAGCAAGAGCCCAATAAGATTTAATGAGTATGTGGATAATTGGAGTATGACGACCCAGTTGGATGTCACTGTACGGATTCGATATGGATGCGATTTGCACTGACTGAGCTAAACAAGAGCTGGACAAGACCACTAGGAGGCGCTGCTCGGGAGATTCCTTCATCGACCGGCCGGGTTCAGAGGGGGGACCCGCCTCTCCGAAGGCGAGGTGTCTCCCCCGCAGCGTTTTCATCTTGTTCAATGGATTTTGATGTCATTCTAACTCGCGTTGTATAGTACAAGATGGTGTCCAATGTTGCCCACTCGGCATCCATTGCAGGCCGGCCATCCTCCCATCTGCGGCCCCTTCTCAAGGTTTTTTTTGGGGTTTTTTTTTTGAGTTTTTCCTTGCCCTCCTGGGTTGTCGTTGATATTTATCAACTGTGGGCATGCGAAGCCCTTTGACACTGCCTGTGGTTAAGGGTCATAGAAATCGATGTGACTTGACATCAAATTGTCGGCACTGTGGGTTTCTTTAAAAAGGGTTCGAACACATTCGCTCGTGCGTTGCATTTGAAGAAAACAACACTGGACGTACTGCTGCAACAAAGTGAAGGCCAAGCTCTGTCCTAAGGCTGCTCTTCTAAATACGGCAAAGGGGGGTGGGGGGGGGGGGG